GGGATGTGGCTCAAGCGGTAGCGCGCTCACCTGGCATGCGTGCGGCCTGGGTTCGATCCTCAACACCACATACAAACAAAGATGTTGTGTCTGCCAAAAACTAAAAAGTAAAAATTAAAAAATTTCTCTCTCTCTCTCTCTCTCTCTCTCTCTCTAAAAAAAAAGAAAGAAAATATTGGGCACTATATTTAAATAAATAATTGATCCCTCCCCATAAAAGTGAAGACCACCAAATCCTTTGCTTCTGTACACATTATTCCTACTTATTATTCCTTTCTAGATTTGATATGTTTTGGCTTGACAATATTAAGGTCACTGAAGGACCTTAATGGACTCACCAAAACACACACAGCAAGACACCAAGTCTCCTAGTAATGAAGCTTCTTTCTATGTGCCCCAGTTCAAACAGTAAAAGGATTTTACAGATTTCTCAAAATGTAGTACACTACTAATGGTGATCTACTTCAGTATCTCTTTGTGGAATAATATTTAAAGAACAAAATAGCATACATTAAAAGATTACAAATACAACTTTTATAATTCTTAAAGTGTTTTAATAATGCAATTTATAAACAGAATTTAGAAGAACTTCTGCTAATAATTTTTCTAATTCAGTTCTTAGCATCTCAACAGGATTTATGATCATTGGAAATCATCTTGAAAAGAACATAAAAACTTGTGGCAGCAAAGCTCTCCCTGTCCCAATGTGTGTGGGAGAAACAGAAACACAAAGACAGACAGACAGACAAACACACAAACACACACACACACACACACACACACACACACAGCACACAGAGCATATACGGGACTAAGAATGCATCCAGAAAACTCAAGCTTCTCGAACTATTCTGGGGAAGGTGGAGTGTGCCTTCCCCAATGGCCGGCAGCAGTTGACGGATGACTCCTCTAACAGCCGGCCTTTCTGTGCCACTCTGTGTCTTTGCATGTGGCACTAACGCTGCTTTTACTGAAGATCTATTGAACTCTTTTATCAATTTACTGCAGATTATTTTTTCAGGAGAGTGGAACTACGAAACATGATAATGAAAGTAAAACTATTTGTGGAATTTGGAAATCAGATTTTGTTCTGAGTTTATAACCGCTTTTAAGGTATACAGTTTCATAGTTCCACTGTAACAGTTTTTTATTATTATGAAATTGTTAAAATTTAAAGTATCACAATATTGCAAGACCTTATGTTGCTACTATGGTGACTAGAACCCTAGTCAGAAACACACAACCTGTTACAAATGGTATACTTGCACTTGAAACAGAAGGAAATCGTTACTGATGATGTTTCAGTGTTTAAAGTGAAATTGGACAAAGAGAAACACCCATTTCCCAGACTTCTAAAAAGTGGCCTTTATTCTGTCAGAGAGTATATCAAGGTTGAAAAATGGTTTGAAAGTTGCCAGGCACAGTGGCACACGCCCATAATCCCAGCAGCTTGGGAGGCTGAAGCAGGAGGATCACAAGTTCAAAGCCAGCCTCAGCAACAACAAGGTCCTCAGCAACTCAGAGAGACCCTATCTCTAAGTAAAATATATTTTTTAGGTCTGAAAATATATTTTAGAATATAAAATAGAAAAAGCACCCTCAATAGTCCCAAGCACACACACAAGACTGAAGACATGTTAGTTTGTGTTCCCCTCCTTCTTCGTGAACTTAAATATGAAGTAGCGGACCTTAAGGGGCAGCTTGCCTGGGATCCCACAGATGTCAGTGGCAGGGCACTTTCTTTTTTTTTTTTTTTTAAGATTTTTTTTTTTGAGAGAATTTTTTTAATATTTATTTTTAGTTATTGGCAGACACAACACTCTTGTTTGTATGTGGTGCTGAGGATCGAACCCGGGCCGCACGCGTGCCAGGCAAGCGCGCTACTGCTTGAGCCACATCCCCAGTCCCTGGCAGGGCACTTTGTACAAAGCCAACTTTAATGCCTGGGACTTTCCCCTGTACCATGGTTGGTCCCCACTGAATGACATGTGATGACACCTGCAATTGTGCCCCCAATTTTAATTTTTTTGCATGTTTGTCCGCAGCTTTTGTTCAAATCAAACTTTATGTAAAAGTAAATTCTTTCTGAAGCCTGGGTACTTTTTTATCTAAAATTTCTTTATGCAGCATGAACAGAAAATTAGGTTTGGAAATAACTCCCACTAAAGCAGAAAGGCTGCACTAGAAGTGAGTAATGGGAGACTGTTCAAAGCCTCACAAAAGACACGCAAATCCCCCAGCACCGTCATCAGCCCCAACAGAGGCTGAAAGAGACGGGCATCAGCGCCAGAACTGGCAATGGGCTGTTCTTAGGGATGAAATGTCATGGACAATTGTTTTCTTCAGAGCAGAGAGTGGGCTTCTAAATAGTGCTCAGGGGAGTTCCATTGCTCACCACTGGTTTGTTCTGGGTTCAGTACTTTTCACAGAAGAATTGGGCAATTACCAAGAAAGGCAGTAAAATAAGCACTTACAGGTAGTTTCTCCCCCACAGAGTTCTAGAGTCACATTTAATGCTTGAAATTAATAACTTATTATGAAAACTCCTTTTTACTGTTTCATTTCTCTGTGACTTTATTTTATATTAATTTATTTACTCTCTTGGGGTACTTTTTCTTTGAAATTCTGTTCAAGATTCTTTGATTTTTTTTTTTTTTAAACCAGGAATTGAACCTGGGGCACTTAACTCACATCCCCGGCCCTTTTTATGTTTTGAGACAGGGTTTCACAGAGTTGCTTAGGGCTCACCAAATTACTGTCATTTGAACTCATGACCCTCCTGCCTCAGCCTCCTCAGTCACTGGGTTACAGGCTTGGGGCCTGGCTTGGTTCAAGATTCTATGTAAGTAAACTCATGGAAAAGTTCTGGAAGGACAAAGACCAAACTTAAAAGCTAATAATCTCTGTGAAGGGGAAGCTAGTATCCACCCCCAGGGATGGGGTGGAAAGGACTCAGTATCATGTACAACTTGTACACCAAAGTTGTCCTTAAGGAACAGCTTTTACTAGAGACCTCAAATTTATGAAGAAAACAAAACAATACAGGTTTCAACTTCAGACCTCTGGGTTCTGATTTCACACAAGCCCTAGGAGACGCTTGTTCTCCTGGGTATTTCTGGTCCTGAGGCCCTGGATGCCTTCGCCTTTCATATGTTACTGACACGTAACCAAACCCTTAAGCATCAATCAACTAACAATAATAATGCCATAAAAAACCTGTGAAAGAGAAAAAACAGATGACTTTGAAACAGCCCTGGAATTCCCCTCACTTTCTGAACCGGGCCCACTGTGGCTGGACCACGGCACAACCAAGGGCTGTGTGGAGCAAGGGCTTTTCAAAGTGTGGCAGGCAACTCGCTCGCTCAAAGCCAAAAATGGAAAAGAAAAAATCCGTGTATTTTAGGACAGAGTGAGGGTGTGTGCCTAGTGGCATGTCTATTTTTAGGAGTTATATTGGGAAACTTCCTCTCTGGATGAGTGGAGGGGGGGGAGTAATAGAAGGGTAACTACATGACTTACTTCATTCTTAAAATAACTCTCCAACCTGAAGTGGGGAAGGTCTTCAACAACCTGGAGTTTTCGTCTCAAAGGCTTACTTCCACATTCACACCCCTAACTAAAAAGTTTCCTAGAAGATTTTATGGCTTATTTTTGATTCATAAATATTAAGTCTGCACCATTTCAAACTGCACTGGGAGCAAATAAAGAATAAATTTAAGGCATGGACAGACCCCAAGTCTGCTACCCTACCCCTGGAAAGGGGATTCCAGCTTTCAGATAACTCCCAGGATGTGCTGTTCAGAGGGATAACATACATCAATTCTGCCACCTACCACAAGTGACAGTTTATCCACATTTCCCCCGGACATTGTTCATGACTTTGATATGCTTAAAAAATAAACAGCAAACAATGCTGTGGCATTTGTGTCAGAGGAATAAATGTCTACTGCCAAATTCTAAATTCACCACTGATACAAGTATTCTTAACCCTTGATTTAAATCTCCTGGGGAGAAGAGGAGTATGAATTTGCTAGGAAGAAGAGAGTTCCTGAATAAAAAATAGCTTTCTATTTGTCAGGGATCTTCTTCAATCTGGCCTATGAAGAGAAAGCTAGAAACAAATCTTCATCTGGCAAGAACAAGCTTGGCACAGTGGCACATGTGTGTATCACAGGTACTGGGGAGGCTGAGGTAGGAGGATCACAAGCTTGAGGCCAGCCTCGATAACTTAGTGAGACCCCGGCTTAAAATAAAAATAAATAAAAAGGGGCTGGAGGGCTGCAGCTGTAACTCAGTGGTAAAGTGCTTGCCTAGCATGTGTGAGGCACTGGGTTTTATCCTCAGCATCACTTAAAAATAAACAAAATAAAGGCATGCTGTCGTCCATCTACAACTACAAAAAGGGAATGGAGGGCTGGAGATGGATTCAGTCCCCAGTGAGTCCCCTTTCCTCCCCACAAAAAAAAAAAAAAAAAAAAAAAACTCAGCAACAATCATAGGGTCATGGGTAACTGGCTCTTGTTTTATAATTCCATTTAACAAAATATGATTAAAATCGTTTTTATAGAAAACTCCTTTTTATTCCCTGAAAAGTAGAAAATGAAATAGAAAAAGTTGAATGAACAGTATTCAGCGTTCTAAAAGTGCCCTTCTCATCTTCATGTTTAGCACATTTTAGACGAAGAAAATGTGTGCGGAGACCTTCTCCATTGCTCCAGGCTTCCAGTGGAGTGCAAGGATTCCTCTGTAATCGCGCTAAAATGTAGCTCCTGAGAAACTTAAGGTGCGCAAGAGGCTGCAAACAGACTGAGCGGACACGGCAGTTCCCTACCGTAGGTTGTCCATGATACGACGCACGATAAAGCTGACACAAACCAGCAGGACTTAATAAAGTACACTTCCTTGAAATGCAATCAAGGTGAAGGGTGGGAAAGGATGAAACTGAAAGACAGCAGCATACTCTCAATTTAAATTGATCCCAGACTACGACCACGTCTTACCTTTTCAGGTCAACAGTTGTGACGCTAAATACAACTCCTTTGAGCCAAAGAATCATGAAGAGCCTCTGGGAAAAGGGGCAGTTTCCTATGCTTTCCCCATCACTGCCAGCCTGAAAGCAGAAAGAAACATTAACAAGGAGGTCAGCATGAGGATTCGCAAAACGACAGGGCTTTCTGTGGATTTCCATCCAAGCTACCAAAGACAGGGCCAGGTGCGTTCTGGAAAGAAAGATTACCCGGGTCTTTCATTTGCCTCCTTCTCTTCTGAGAAACGAGCAGCCCAGCAGGGCACATGGCACACACCTGAATCCCTGCGACTCAGGAGCTGAGGTGGGAGCACTGCAGTTCTGAGGCCAGCCTCAGCAACTTAGAGATCCAGTCTCAAATAAAGAAATAAAAAAGACTGAGAATGTAAAGTGCCCTTGGGTTTAATCCCCAGTACAAAAAAAAAAAAATTTTTTTTTCATTATAAAAATCCTATATACTCTCTTATACATTCCTTCAGGAAGCAAGAAAATAACAAAAGATGCCTTTGTAATAAGCTATTTATAAACTTTTTAATGGATGGAGCAGCTGACTTTTCTAAGCTCAAGAATGAGGTAGAATTTTCCCAAAATCTGAGTGGGACATATTTCCCTCATTTCATCAGGTTTACCCCAACTTGAAAAGGAGACAAGAAAACATTCTGACATTTGCTAGGCATCAACACAGCCTCTTTATTATGAAGTCTATAAAGAGTTCCAAAAATAACTCTTCAAGAAGTCATTCAAAGACGCTGGTGAGTCAGGAGGTGATGCGGGCCTGTAATCCCAGGGGCTCGGGAGCCTGCGGCAGCCTCAGCAACTTAGCAAGGCCCCAAGCAACTCAGGGAGACCCTGTCTCTAAATGAAGTAAAGATATAATAACCAGCTATAACTAGAAAATAAATATTTTTTAAAAAGTACTTCTTACTATCCTACTTAAATCGAGCTCAAAAAATTCAGAAGCATTTCAGTAAAATGCTCCATCCACAATAAGCCATTAATTCTTTAAAGGGAATGAAGTACTTTGTTTCCAACTTAGTGTATCAACCTTCTGGAGGCTTATGCCTGGGGCCATGATCACCTCAGATGGGAAGGACACTGGACCTTTAGAAGCAGAAATCCTGCTGACCAGTAACAGGGGCCCCTCCCGCTTCCTCCCTCCCAGCTGGGTGGGGTCACAGGAGGCCTAGTGGAGAGACTTTGATCACCAAGAAGCAGTAGTGAGGCCACCTCTGCTGCAGTATCAGGGAGGCCTCGTGGGGAAGTGGACTCTCACCGGTGCCCAGCAGTAATGAGGTGCCTCCACTCTGAGCATCAGTGGAGACCCACGGGGACACCTGGATTTCCACCTTCATTTGTCTGTAACAAGGCAATGATGTCCCCACCCCCCTCACCCTATACCTCTCTCCATCAGAAAAGTTGAAACACAGGGTTAAATAAAACCCAGGGTCTTGTAATATGAAACCGCCAGGGTTTCCACTGAAAGTCACCTAAAAAGCCAAACACCAAACACCATCTCTGAGTGAGAAAAGGCAATCAGCAGCTGCCAGCACCAAGAAGACAGAGATGTCAGAACATCCGACAAAGCATCTCTCTGAAGTGGTGTCATAAAAAATATTTTAATGAGCAACTATCGGCAGCTTGAGCTTGAAAAAAACCACAAGCGGAGAAATACAAGATGGAAAAAATGCAGTAGCTGAAATAAAAGGGTGACCAGGGGACCCTGACCTCCCACTTTCTCCGCAGCTCCCTGGCCCTGAGCAGTATGTTTGGTCACTTCCAGCAAGTGCCACCCAGCAGGCCCACCAGATTCCCAAAGCAACGGGTCTGCCTGATCCTGGACTAGAACCTCCAAACTCTGATCCAAAATAAAAATTCTCTTTTTATAAGTCAATCACTCCAGATATTTTGTTGCAGTGATGGAAAGTTCACTAACATAGACTCAGAGCCCAGTGGAGGGAGAAAGGGAGAATGAACGAGCTGGAGAATCACCCAGTGAGCAGCACTCATCCATAAACAAGAAGGAAAAGGGACAGAACCGGAGAACATCATGCTGAGTGAAAGAAGCCAGGCTCAAAAAGTCAAGAGTCGAATGTTTTCCCTCATGTGCACAAGCTAGAGAGAGAGAAAAGAAATAGAAGGGAAAGTAGAGAGGACAGGAAAGACATCAAGGGGAGGGAGAGAAAGGGAAAGAACTGAGGAATAAAATCAACCAAATTATACATGCATGTACGACAGCCGTTATGAATCCTCTTTCATGTATAAACACAATGCACCAAGGCGGGGAAGTGCTCGTGAGTAAACAGAGGGAGGACCAGAGGCGTAGAGGAAGGAGAACCCGAGGAGGGAACGGGGAGGGGAAGGAGAAACACTAGGGAATGGACTGGAATAATTATGTTATGTACATACATGAATGCCACAATGAACCCCACTATTATCTATAATTAAAACACACTAATAAATACATTTTTAAAAATTACCCAGCATAGCCAGGTGCAGTGGCACACAACAGTAATCCCCACAACTCAGGAGGCTGAGGCAAGAGGATTTCAAGTTTGAGACCAGCCTCAGCAACTTAGTGAGAATCTGTCTCAAAATAAATAGGACTGGGGATGTAACTAAATGGAAAAGCATTCTTGAGTTCAATCCCCAGTACAAAAAAATCTTTACTCAGTGTAAGCAACAGAAAAAAAGTAGGCTGAAAATTGAATACTTCTTATATATTCCCATGTTTTGTTTGTTTGTTTTTTGAGGAGGTGTACTGGGGGGATTGGGCTCAGGAACTCTTGACCACTGAGCCACATCCCCAGCCCTGTTTTGTATTTCATTTAGAGACAGGGTCCCACTGAGTTGCTTAGCACCTCACTAAGTTGCTGAGGCTGGCTTTGAACTTCCGATCCTCCTACTTCAGATTCCGAGCCCCGCTGGGATTACAGGCCTGTGCCACCATGCCCCACTATTCCCATGTTTTGATGTCCACATCTAACTGTCACTTGTGAAGCTTTCCTTGTATGCCGCTGGCCCAACAACTAGACATCTAGAAATTTAACCTAGTAGAAACACTTACACTGATGTCCAAAGATACTCATCTCTTGTGACTGAAGCATGTTTCTAACAGAAAGCCTTGGAGACCCCCAAAACCATAAGGAAAGGCTCTGCTCAAACAGATCAGCACCCAGGACCGCACCTAGGCCACTGGTTCAGCCTGCGGCATATGGGCGAGGATTGAGCCTCCACATCCCACTGTGGAGTCTGGAGCACCGTGATTATGGTCTAAAACTTCAGCATCACTTAGGTTTTCCCTTTCTTTAGTGGTAGATGGACATAACACCTTTATTTTTATGCGGTGCTGAGGATCAAACCCAGTGCCTCACACATGCTAGGCAAGCACTCCAGCACTGAGCCGCAACCCCAGCCCCTAGGTTTTCCCTTTCTTGAATCTTTGTCTAGCAGGACCAGGAGTTTTTGGAACTCTTTCTTTCTTTCTTTTTTTTTGTCTGAGCCTATCCCCCCCCCAAAAAAAAACTGCCTGCTTCCAAGCCTGGAATATATAAGGAAAAAAAAAAAAACTGCCAAGAAACTCACTACCATCTCCTCTATTGTCCAAGAAGCAAAATCTCTAAGAAGTATTAAACTTAAGAAGCAAAACAAAAATATATAAAATGTACATCCATATAGTGAACTTGACTCAACAACAAAAAGCAATGAAGCCGGGGCTGGGTGGGGGCTCGGTGGACAGAGCTCACCCAGTACATGTGAGGCCCTGGGTGGGATCCTCAGCATCACGTTAGAATAAAGGTATTATGTCCAACTACAGCTAAAAAATAAAGATTATAAAAGAAATGCAATGAAGCACTGATACATGCTCTATAACTTCAATGAACTTTACAAACATGTTAAATAAATGGAGCCCGTCACAAAAGACGATATATTATATAATTACATTTATATAAAATGTCCAGTGTCCAAAATGGGCGAATTCATAGAGACAAAAAGCAGATTAGGAGCTGGGACTGTAGCTCAGTGACACAGTACCTGTCCAGCATGTGTGAGGCACTGGGCCAGCACCACATAAAAATAAATAAATTAAATAAAGGCATCATATCCATTTGTAACTACAAAAAAAATTAAAAAAGTAAATTACTTGTTGCCTAGGGTTTGAGGGTAAGGGGTTGGGAAGTAACTACTAAAGGGTACACAGTTTCTTTAGAGACGGTGAGAGAATGTTTTAAAATTAGACTGATGATGGATGCTAACTTCTTTTTACCTTTTTTAAATAGGTGAATTGTATGATATAAAAATAATGTCTAATAAAACTGTTTTTGAAATGTGTAGCCAGATGTGGTAACCCACACCTGCAATCCCTGCAATTCAGGAAAATGAGGCCAGCCTCAGCAACCTAGCAAGGCACTGTGTCAAAATAAAAATAAAAAGGTTTGTGGATTTAGTTCAGTGGCCAAGCACCCCTGGGTTCAATTCCCAATACCAAAAACAAACAAGCAAAAAAAGTACAGGCATATTATAAGTATAAATACACGCTGGAGAAGATTTTAATTTTAAGAATATAAATAGTTCTAAAATTGTAATTTAGAAAAATATACATTTCTATATATTCTTAAAAAATAGAAAATCCAAATAATCAGAGAAAACATGAGTATTCTCACTGACATAAATATAACCACAGATTTCCAGATCAAGAATGAATCTTGGGCTGGGGATACAGCTCAGTTGGTAGAGTGCTTGCCTTGCATGCACAAGGCCCTGGGTTCAATCCTCAGCACCAAAAAATAAAAATAAAAATAAAAAAAAGACTGAATCTTAGCATTCATGTGGGTTTGTTCTGATGAAAGCAGTGTCTTGTCAGCTTTGTCTGGAGCTCCTCTCACACACTCACTACGCCTCACCACCAGCTTCATCCTCCTTGCTCCAGACCTCTGTTGTCACCCATGGAATTGCATAATTCTGGTATTCAATGAGAAACTGCTAGATTAACTCCTACATTACAGAATCAAGGTCAATGGCAAATGCCATAAATATTTTAATGTTTTACTAAGTCAAGATTAAAGAACTGCTCACTTAGAAAACCT